TAACCGTAGTGGCTGCACTGCCAGTCATGTGGTGTCAGGAGACTTTTTAAAAAATCAACTAAGGTGGGGTGAGGCAGCTCTCCATTGCACATACACCGCCTCCGTCTTTGGGGTCTTGCTACAACGACATTGGCCTGGAGGACCCCCGTTCTCTGGCACACAATGTTAACGTCCCATAAACGGCAGAACATGCTTGCTTCCCCATTCCAGGCCTTGGAAGCAGTTCAGGAAATAAAGCTGTTCTGTCAGCGTCTCCATGATCCAGCGTCTGAGCAGCCAGCACTGTCACCATTCCCGAGCCTGGGTGGCCTGCGGGTCTGGCTGCCGTGGAAAGGAACCCGCCAGATTAAATCAGTTGATGGAGATGCTGAGAGACAGGGAGGAGGGAAATTAGGCATTTTTGCTTTCTTCCCAAAGACTTGGCATATTTCGCTGTTATCCCTGAGTGTTCCTGCTGTTTGGACATCCCCACTTCCAAATCGCTGGTGCCTGGAATGCACCCTGGGCATTCAGATAGCAGTATCCCGTTTCCACCACAGTCTTCAGCTTCTTGGAACTAAGCAAAATTTTTTCTACCTCTGTGTGCACATTGGGCACAAAAGCCTTGGGGGAAGGGATTGCGCCCACCCTATATTCCCATGCAGCATGTGGAGCTGCAGCTTTACACAACCAGGTGTTTTCTTGTGCCAGTTGCTGCAATAAGAGCTAACATGTATTGAGAGCTTACTATATGCTAAGCATTGTATTAGGTGCTTTCCATGCCTTAGATCATGAAATTCTTACAACAGCCTCAAAGGGTAGGAAATATTTACAGATGAAGAAACCAAAGCTTTGCAAAATTAAGTAAATTACAGAGGGTCATGAAGGTTGCAAGTATTAAGGCCAGGACTCAAATCCTGGTCTAAACAACACCAGCGCCCATGGTCTGAGATGGGTCATGAGGTCTCAACAGCCAGGACTGACTTCACTGACCCTCCTTTATGATGGTCTCGAATTAAATGAGGAGATCAGGTCAAGCCCTCAAATGATCGTGACTTGGTCTTTCATAGTTCCAATGCCAAATAATAGAAGACGAGGGAAGGAAGCATTGGTTAGAGGAATTTGATTGGAATCAATGCCAGTTTTATTTTTCCTGTTGAGGTTTACTTTGCATGTTCTTACACGAGTTTGGCTAACATTATCTCAGGAGTTTTTTTAACATTGTTGTCACATGGAAAGGTGGCAGAAATTGAAAGGAGAGCAGTCAATTCACTGTTCTTAACCTGGCTTGTCCAGCACTCGACCTTCTAACTGTGACTCTTCTGCGTTCCTTGATGGGCTCTTCAGTGAAGAATCTGCCTCTGGTGAGGAGACCCGCTGACGCCGACTTTCTTTCTAGGATGCTTGGGTTAGATCTGGTGGTGCGAGACGACAATGGGAACATTTTGGACCCGGATGAAACCAGCACCATTGCCCTCTTCAAGGCCCATGAAGTAGCCTCCAAAAGGATTGAGGAAAAGATTCAAGAAGAAAAGGTACACTTCCTCACGTGTGCAGATTCTGGCCACTGAGGTTCCATTTTTGCTTTGGTTTTTAATGAAAGAAAGGAGTTTATTTTTTTCTTGCAGTCTTTCTGTTCCCATGAGTAACGATTTGTGCTGATTTTCTGCAATGTGTAGTTTTTACTTCTTTAGCACAGTCGTGATAACATTTGTGTTTCGGAATCCAATGGCAAACTTTGCCTGAGGGTGACGCCTTTCCAATGGGATATTTTGTTTTGAGTGAGCATTATATCTATAGAGAGGAATAATGGATCACGGTGTTTGTGCTTTTGAACTTCATCCAGAAGCCATCGCGAGAGATGAGAACTTCCTAGAGTTACCAAAACCGTGAGTTATCCCCTGTAGACAGCATTTATTGAATTACTTGGGTTCAAGACGCTGAACAGGACAGTCTCGATCATCTAAATAATAGTAATTCTGTTTTGCTCGCTCCACAGATCATTGCTGCCTTTACATACACTTTCTTCTTAGCAAGTGCGTCTCCTCTCTGGTGGTGATTACATTGGTTGCCCATCTGCAGGTTTTCTGCTTTGCCTGCATTTCCTGTTTGCTGAAACCAAGATGTTTTTCTCTCTTTCCCTCTCTGTTCAGTCAATGTTGCAAAACCTGGACTTTCGGGGCCAGTCCATCTTCAGCACTGTCCACACCTACGGCCTCTACGTGAACTTCAAGAACTTCGTCTGCAATATCGGGGAGGATGCGGAGTTGTTTATGGCCCTCTACGACCCAGACCAGTCCACTTTTATCAGGTAGCAGACACCCAGATCACCTGCTGTTGGTTGACCTTGCAAAGACACGTGGCCTTCAGCTACCCCCTCCCCAAGAAGCTGTTTGCTAGATTCAAGAAGGGGAGATAGAGAAATCTTCTAGGCAGTAGAAAGTAAAATCCTTTGGGCTGTGAAGCCTTCATATATCACTCCTGAAACAGCACAGCCACGGGTTGTGGGATTTAGACATCACATAGACTCATCAAGACCTGGAGATGGGAACAAAGAATTCAAAAGAGGAATGAGGGGAGGGTGAGAGTGGGATGAACAGGTGGAGCACAGAGGATGTTTAGGGCAGTGAAATTGCTCTGTGTGGCACTGTAATGGCGGGTATGTGTCATTATGCATTTGTCCAAACCCATAGAATGTGCAACACCAAGAAGGAAGCCAGATGTGCCCTGTGGACTTTGGGTGATAACGGTGTGTCCAATGTGTCTCCGTAGGTTCATCAGTTGTAAGAAATGTACCGTTCTGGAGATGGGGGGGGGGGTGGTTGTTGACAGCAGAGGAGGCTGTGCGTGTAGGGGTGCTACGTGGGACTGTGTACTTTCAGCTCAACTTTGTTGTGAACCCAAAACTGCTCTAAAAAAAATACAGTCTATTA